TACAATATATCCACTGAGACCCCCAACCCTTTTAACATGTAAAGTAGACTGAACTCTCTTTTGTGACGTTTTGTGTTCAATAAAAGGGCTTCCCTGAGCGCGTGCTCGGGGCTGCTCATCCAAGACTGAACCGGCTTGGTGTCTTTCTTGATGCATTGGACTCAATGAGAAGCCCTCCTAATGCGGAGCAAAGCCGCAATAGACTAAACTTCAATTCACTCCTCCTGATACAATCTATCATGTCATGTAATTCATGTAGTCTATGAGCTGTCAAATGTTTCGCCTGATCTGATGTCATAGATTAGTTGTATATTATATGAAGCACGTGTGTATTTATTTTAAGGATAAGTACAGCTTCTTTTATAATAAAATATAAAACAACATTTTACAAATACTCACAGTATAAGGATATGCTCCAGAACACCAAGTTGTGGTTTCTAGTCCGATAAAGTATACACTTGGAAAATAAAGCTCTCCAATGTTTTTAACTAGGCCTACGCTTGCCAGATAGAGACTATTTTCAACCAAAATGTAGACATTTGGAAAAACAGTTCCTACTGTTTTGACTTTGTGAATCATGGTAGATGGTATGATGCTTGGAGGAAATTTTATTTCTACTACATTTAAAAATCCATTGCTGGTGTGGAAGATCCCATCAACTGTGACTATGAGAGCTGTTCTTGGATAACAGGCACACCATTCTATTATGGGTTCACTATCAGCTGGAAGAGTAACAGAAACTCCTGTTTTGGGGCCTAATATATATATAGGCTGGGCAATAGTAAAAGGAGTATCTTGAACAAAACAATCCTGAAAAGTAACTAGGTTGTCAAAGATGGTTGCCACGTTGTCATTTGTTTCGCTTGGTATTTCAAATGTCCATATTCTGAAAAAAAAACATCAAAAATACACAATACAATTAGCTATTATATCTTTATAAACCAAGTATCTGAATATGTTTTTCATCAATATGATTTATTCCCTAATACTTTTTAATAATGTTTACCTATAAGCTTCAATTACTTCCCAATTAAATGCTGAACTTAAGTTCTAAAAAGCAAATTTTGCTGAAGAATTCAATGAAAATAATAAATCGGTCAAATAGCATTTCAATTTAATATTTCAATATATATTTATATTTCAATATCCACAAGCAGATCTATACAAACATATTCTATCAATGTTAAAGCTGTAGCTGTGAAATATATTGTACTTATATTCTCAGTAGCACAGTTCTTGTGCTTATCAGATGGTTACTGAGCATTAATTCATTTTAGAATCATCACTAATCTAAAGCTTCACATGTACAAACAGATTTCAGAGGAGTTCTTGTCCAAATTATCAACCAATGTATATATTTGAGGAAATGCACTCCTTGACAACCAAATGTCAATAAAATTCAAATTTGTTATTTTCATCATTTTCATCATTATGCGATGATCTAAATGTATGTTATCTGGACTGCTTTTGGACTGGACTGCATCTGGATTGATTTTGAGACAGTGCATTTGTCTATTATTTTGGGTTTAAAGCCCAGATGCAAAGTTTGCATATGATTTGTGGAACCTATTAAATGGATGTCTATTAAACTGAAGTTTTAGTGTAACAGTTCTCCATCCACTTCTATAGAATTATAACAAAGATGTATATCACATAGACTAGTCAAGAAATTATTCTGCATAGGCTGCTAGAATAGTGACTATATTAGCAATACCAAAAAGACTAAAATAAAAAGTTACCTCAACGGTCACATAATAAATAGCCATTCTTTCAGGTTGCAGAACTGAGTAGAATCCAATATGATTAGTCCTCACTTAACAACCCAGCTGGGAACAGCAATTCCATCACTAAGCAACACAGTTCTTAAGCAAAGTATCATGTGACTGAATTGAACTTAATGTCATTTGTGTTGAGGTTATTAAGTGCATCAGCTGCAATTATTAAGCAAAACACCATGTGACTGTGACTTGAAATTTTACTAACAGCTTCTTTATTGATTTTCTCAGAAGCTTATTATGAAGCATGTAAATGGCAATCATGTGACTATAGGATGCTGCAACAGTCATGAATGCCCAGTGGTTGCAAAGCACTTGAATTTTGATAACTGCAGGGACTTGTTGCCTCTCATGATGGCCATTCCCATCCCCGGGCTTATTTTTGAGGTAGGGTTTATATTAGGTCCACCACAAAAAAAAAATCAGGCTAGGGCTTATTTTTGGGCTGGGTCTTATTTTTGTAGAAACAGAGTAGTAACATCATTATTGTAAGGGTGATATGGAGTGAAATCCATTTTCTCTGTTGGAAAACCAACTATTCAATTCAACACTTAATTAATGATTTCATTCAGGCACTTATACTATTAGTCACCATGTTTTTGTCAAAATCATTATAATTCTTATATTTCTGGATTGACTTTCTTTCTTTTATTATTATTGGCTCTGGTTCCATCAAAATTAATTTCTTTTGTATTTGTTGAATTGTCCTGTGTTGTCCCCTGGTGTGTTGGTTGTGGCGAGTTGTCCTGTGGGGAGTTAGTGAGTGAATTTGCCACAGCAAGTTGGCCACGGCAACTTGACCATGGTGAGTTGTTCCATTCCAGTACAATGCTGCTTTGAGGGGTACATTGCTAAAAGGCCCATTTGTAACTTGGAAATTTTGAAGCAATAACTAAGCCTACATCTGCTCATCCCAATAATTTGGCAATTATTTTTTCATTTAATTGGTGGAAGAGTTTCATACAATTAATTTATCAGTGGTTGTATTGCAGTATTTGCAAATTTTTGTCAAATAGATTGTGATTTTTCTCATAATGCTTTCAATCTGCATCTCACTACTTTGCCTCAGAAAAAATCATGCAAATTCTTTCTTCATATGCCTTGCATTCCTCTTCCCTTTCCAATTTATTAAGTACAAGGCTTAATAGATATATCTAACACTGATTTTAAAAAGTCAGATGATGAGTTCCAAGAGAAATAGAAGTACAAGTGGCCTACTGAGAAACAAACTTTTAAATATTTAGAATAATTCAATTTTTGCAGAAATAGAATGATTTTTTAAAAACACATCATAGCACGGATTAAGTAAGGCCAATACCATGAAAAACTCATGGTCACATGGCAAAGAAAGATGTATTACAGATGTGTTTGACAAAGACATAGCTGGCTAATTGGAAAAAGGGCATATTTATCAGAAGGCAAAGAAAACTACAATATTATCACTTCTTTTTTCAGAAAACATTGTTGTATCACAATTCATCTAACCATTAATCATGAACCTTGCTGCATGGGGAGGAAACATGAATTTTCAGATACTATTTAATTCTAATATTGTTGTCAGGGTTGTTAATGATAATAACAACCATGTTGTTCTGACCTAGGCTTCCTTAGAAAGCATAAAACACAATCTTAATCCTGACAAAATCTCTTTTATTTCCACAGCTGTGAATTACGTTCATTCACAGCTGGTCAGGCTTCACACACAGTATCACATGTTTATAAACACCCACCTTATCACTCTTGGAATGCAGCCAGACAACTAATTGCCAGACATAGGGCACGGCCAAACTTGACACAGAGTCAAGCAGCACTTTTCAAAGCTTGAACCGACCAAATGAACTAATTGCTTCCTACAAAAGCTCACGTCTTGTTCACTCCTCTTTTATGTCCTATGGGAGTGGCCAATCATCTCCGAGATGTGGCCTTACTCCTGAGTCGACTCTGATTTTTCAATTGTTCTTGCCTTCTACTAGTTCTGCGCATGCGCAGGCTGGGAACCAGTTCTATAAGCTCGCCGCATCACTTCTGTCTAAACCTGAAGGCAGCTGCTGACTGCCACCTGCCCTGGCCCCATCTCTGCCCCTGATGCAGTGCCCTCCTCCGGATCTTCCTCAACCTCCAGACCCGGCACAGGTTCCTCCCCAAACTCCTCACTACTGTCTGACTCTGCTGCCAGCTCCATCAGCTGCTGGCAGGCCACAACAAATGTTTGCAACCCTTTCATTTGTCAAAAAGATTACTCTATAAGATGTGATTAAAAGAACAATACCCATTATCAAATGATGTGTTGAGAATTTCCATTTCTAAAAATGATGTTTCAATATTTGGTGCGTATCCCAAATTCCAGAACTGCTTGCTAAGGGTCCTAGAATACTGTGAAATAAAAACAGTTATTATTTTTAAGAGAACTTTAAAAAATCATTTTATTAAATATAAATATAATTTCATTTGTATAAAGTTCTACTTCTTAGCAGAGATAAATTAACAATACAAAAATAATAATTATTAGTATGAAATGTATATATATTTTATTGTGATTTGACCAACCATAAGATTTATTATAAAACCAGAAAACAATTCAGTGTCTTGAAAGTAACGAAGTATTCTAATATAATGGCTCAGAATGACTACTAGAGGATGATCTTTTATAGAAGAGAATTTTTTTTTTAATTTTAACAACAAAACAACAAACATAGACATACCACATAAAACATAAAAGTATCATCCTTCTTCATAAATTTACAAACAGTGCATCGATTGATTTACCACTTTTTTTTGTGCATCCATTTCCTAGTCACTAATATAATTATATTACATAATAGCTCATATTATCAATCAATAATTGTATAACCTAATATCACTAAAAAAAAATTATCTATAATTTTGTTAATTCATATTTTAACGAGATAACTATAGTTTACTTAATTTATTTTGCAATAAATCATAAGATCATACCAAATCTATCTTGATAATATTTTATAAAGATAATATGAAGAAAAAAAAGGAAAAATTTTTTTATGCTAAATCTGAATATTCTATTATTATGTTTTATTATCTAACCATTGATAAAAAAGATCCCAAACTTCATAGAATTGTTTATCTTCTTGTTCTCTAATTTCAAATGTCAATTTACTCATTTCAGCACAATCCAATATTTTCTTAATAATTTCTTCCTCTGATGGAGTTTTCTCGCTCTTCCAGTTTTAGCAAGTACAATCCTAGACGCTGTTAATATATTTACAATCAAATACTTCAAATTTTTAATATATATATCAGGTAAGATTCCCAATAAAAAAATCTCTGGTTTCAAGTCTATATGTGTCTTTGTCATTTTTTCCAACCATATGTGAATCTTAGTCCAATATTTTCTAGCGTCCTCACAAGTCCACCACATATGGTAGTATGAGCCAGGTATCTGATGACATTTCCAGCACTTTTCAGATTTGTTCTTAAACATTCTTGCAATTCTTGTCGGGGGAAAATGCCACCTGTAAAACATCTTATACAAGAGAATTTTAGAAGAGAATTTTTAAAAGATTGTTTCTTAATAAAGTTATTTTTTTCTATAATATTTAAATTGATGATGGCTATAGGAAAAGAACAAATTACAAGCTCAAGAACAAGCCAAATATAAGTATAAAAGGTGTTTTGGAGGTCTTTTAAAAATACTCTAACTGAATGGTGTGAAAAAGATAAAAAGGCTTTTACTTGGAGAGGAAAAAAGTGAGTTTATTTTATTAATTAATTAATGAAATTTATATGGCCTCCCATTTCACAGAAAGTGGTTCTGTGCAATATATAACAAATATTCCAACTAAAGTGGCATGTCACAAAAAATCCAAAATGCAAGAGATTATGCATTGCCTCGAAAGATATGAAAGTCATTTAATGATTTAAGATTTACATACCAATAAACTGCAAGCATAAATGTAGGGTAGAATTTCTGGAAAACTCTGATTAGATGTATATCAACTCAGTTATCAACTAATAACTTGGTCCCATGCCATGTAGGGTTTTGAATATGATAACTAGCACCTTGTGTTCTACCCAGCAGGAAACTGGGAAATACTGCACTTGTACAATAGAAGTATAATGTGTACTACAGTGTGTACTGGACCAGGGGTCACCAACCTTTTAGAAGTCAGGGACCACCAAACTCATAATTTTAAATCCCGTAGACCAGAGACCCTGGGAAAATCCCAAAAATGTCTGCAGGAAAATTCCCCAGCCCATTTTCCTACCAATAGATCATTCTTTATTTGGGATCACAGGATACCATCTCCAGCTCCGTTCTCGGACGGGAGGCAGGGAGGGAGGGAGGGAGGGACAGACAGACAGACAGACACTTTTGGCTTCATGCAAGGAAAGCAACAGAAGCAGCAGAAGCTTTTCTTTCTCTCCCCCAAATTCTGCCAGAAATGAGTCTTTGTGAGACTTATCGCATTGGCGCAGCCTCTTGGAGTAGGAGGCCTTGCAGGGTGCCAGAGATTCATTTCGGTGGAGTTTGGAGTTTGGGAGGCACAGCCTTGTGTTCCTGTGCAGCCTGGATTAATTGCTTTGGGGGTAACATTTCTCTGCGGACCACCAAAATTTTCTTGCGGACCACCAGTGGTCCCCAGCCCACTGGTTGGTGACCAATGTTCTGGACTATTTATAGCTTCTGAGTGATCTTCAAGAACAGCCCAATGTAAAGTGTATTGCAGTAACCCAAAGCTGAAATTTCCTGTGATCAATTGCAACCTTTTTTGGATAGGGAGCTTTGCGCACGGTCACTTGTGCCTTGTCACTTCAGTCCAGAGTTGTCCATGATAGGAATTGGGTATGTCTAGTTTAATGAAAAGAAGGGCTAAGGGTGACATGATAGCAGTATTCCAATATCTCAGGGGTTGCCACAAATAAGAGATTGTCAAGCTATTCTCCAAAGCACCTGAGGGCAGGACAAGAAGCAATGGATGGAAACTAATCAAGGAGAGAAGTAACCTAGAACTAAAGAGAAATTTCCTGACAGTTAGAACAATTAATCAGTGGAATGATTTACCTCCAGAAATTGTGGATGCTCCAACACTGGAAGTTTTAAAGAAGAGATTGGACAACATTTGTCTGAAATGGTATAGGACTTCCTGCATGAGCAGGGGGTTGGAGTAGAAGATCCCCAAGGTTCCTTCTAACTCTAATTACAATTCTGTCCTGTTATAAGCAACAGAACCCATCAAATGGCTGCTATATCTTATGGCTGCTTGAGCAGCAGCCACAAAACTCAAGGCACTCATCCTGATTCCAACCCGCACAGATATGCTGCTTTTCCCTGCACCCAGTGCAGCAAAAAGCCTGATCACTAAAGTCTTCAATGCAGGGATGGGATCTGACCGGTGTAACTACCGGTTTGGTGATTTATATAATGATGTTTTGCG